GGCTCCACCTCTTCAGATCTTCACCCTGGGAGCCAAGCTTCCAGCACGTGAACCTTTGGAGTCCACACGTCGATTACATCCAAACCATAGCAAGGGGAGAAGAGACATAGTGTTTGCAACTGTTCTAAAAATGGTTCAGAAAACAAATAACAATTGTTATATTATTAGAGAGAAATGAGGATAACTCAAATGTGGAAAAATTTAAAAATTAATGTCTTCTTAGATTTTTCTGTAAGTTTGAAATTTTTAAAAAGAAATAGTTTTTTTTAAAAAGCATTTTCATTGGAAGTGGCAGTGCATACCCATAATCCAGCACTGAGGGAGGCTGAGGCAAGAGGATCACATATTCGAATTCCAGTTTGGCAATTTATAACACCCTGTCTCAAAATAAAAAATAAAAAAGGGGGCCGGGGATTTAGCTCAGTGGTTCTGCCGCCTGCCTCGCAAGCGCAAGGTCCCAAGTTCGATCCCGGGTATCAAAAATAAAATTAAATTAAATTAAAAAGGGCTAGAGGTATAGCTTCGTGGTAGAGTCCCCATGGGTTCAATATCCATTAAGAGAGGGGGGGAGGGGGAGGGAGGGAGGAGTTTTAAAAATTGTAACCTCCATGTTTTCTATTCCAAAACCAGTATGATCTGAAGTTCTGGGGGTGGGATCCAGGCATCGGTAGCATTTAAAGCTCCCAACGGACTACAGTGAGTCAGGGGTCAGGAGTCAGAGGCCTGTCCTGGGTTAACATCTACACTGAGAAGGAGCCTCTAAAATAATTATAACCATTAATTGATGTGGTCTTAACTGTTTACTATATTTATGCTTTTCATTACAAAAGCAATATAACCACATTGCATTAAAATTGGAATATATTTTTAAAGAAAAATAAAAAGTTATTACTATAACATAAGCAATGAAAGTATTTTGGTTTATTTTCCACAAGCATGTTCGCTTCCTAGAAAGGATGACCCACTGAACATACAGCATGAGTGCTGCTACTGTCATTTGACATGGAAAATGTCTTTAGGGCAGTCTTTTTTTTTTTTTTTTTGGTACTGGGGATCGAACTCGGGATCCCATGCTTGCAAGGCAGGTGAGGGAACCACTGAGCTAAATCCCTGGCCCCAGGGAAGTCATTTTTTATGATACCACATCCACTGGATGTGCAGTTATTGACTTAACTATTCCCCTACTTTAGCACACATACATAGTCCTAATTTTTTTGAATTACAAATAATGCTGCAAGGAACAAATTTGTTCATAGCAGTGTTTCTATATTTTAGGGCATTTACAAAGTTAGATCACTGGGTCATGATACATCCTTTTGCATAGTCTTGGACACATTCAGCCATACTGCTTTGCAAAAGAGCTTAAACAATTTATGTTACAAGCAGGAAGAGATGCTGGTTTTGCAGCATTTGACATTATAAATTTTTGGTGTAAATTTAATATGTGAAAATATGTCAGAAATTGACCGAACTATCAGAAGGACAATCTCAGTTTTAACTATTTCATCACCAATTTGGTGGTTTGAGGTGGTCCCTTAATCTTTTGTTTTAATCATTTTGTATATTTATTCAAGAAATGCTTATGATCCACCTACTGTATTCCAGGCACCATTCCCAGTGGACGTGAATATACCTTGTAAGTTGGGTGTCATGGTTTCATTAATGCTGCTTCTGCTATTACGATTATTCACCCCCAGTGGCTGTTCAGTGCTTTGTGTCTGTTGGCCATGCGCTTCCCATTAGGAGTACCATTAGGAGAGAAGCATTTGCTTCTCTCCCCTACATCCTTTTGCAGAAAGTACTATGACCTAGTCTTTTGTACAACCTTCTCTCTTGGGCCTTCCGGTGGTAAACCTGTTCTTTCTATTTTATCATTCCCTGTGTGTTAAGTACTATAAATAAAGTGCCTCAGGCACCAGGCTAACACATCTTAAAGTGAAAGTATCCAGAGTCATGCTCAAAAACATTTCCTGTGCTGGTTGAAATGTTCACTTCCAGAGACCAAAGAGGGAGTTCCCTGTCTTCTGAGACTTTGTGGCAGTATTTATCTTTCATATTTGTTTGGTAGATAAGACCACTGACTAGGGGAATGGGGATCTTAGTGCAAATCTGATTTCTACTAGGCTGCCTCTGTACCCTGGGGTTCTTGAGGTGAATGTAAAGAAACACTTACTGTCTTGCTTTCTTTAAAATGACAGTGGCTGTAAGTAAAGAATTATGCATGGGGATGTTTAAGACATTAGTTTTAAAACTCCCTCCATCCCTAGTCCCCTGGTAGTAATGGGTAACCACTTGCTAACAGACATGAAAGGATAAACAACCACTAGAGTGGAACGTCTGTAATTACAGAAGCAATCTTAGTAAAGACCAGTCTAGAAAAATAAATTTTTGATTGCTTCATTTTCAAGTATATTTATTTAGTCAATTGTCATCTTCTCCCAAACTTTCCTAAAATTCAATATCCATGAACTTTTTTCTGCCTGTTCTACAAGCTAACTTTCTTAATAGCCTAATATCTTCTCATTTTTCATATCTAGGCTGTATTTGCCCAAGGGAGTCTTCTCTTACCTCTAAAATGAAGCTAGTGTCTATATTCTGGCTATTCTCAACATCTTCGACTATAGCCTCAGCTAGCACACTACCTATGCTTGTGTTCCAAATACTGTACCCCAGTGGGCCTTTCAGTTCTTTTCTCAGTTTTCTTTTGAAGGAAGTGAATTCATGGAAAGTCAGATTGCACATTTCACGTCATTCTCAGGCAGTCTCAAATCAAAGAGGGTGTGTCTCTACCCAGTACCCTGTGTATTTAGGTTGGTGCCAAAACATATATATGGTCGTCAATTCATTAAACATAGTAAAGTCAGGGATGGGCCCAACTCTTTGAGAATTTAAAAGACTTTGAACGTAGGAATAATCCCAGGGTTGACATGTGCCAGAGCCAAGCCAGGATGAGTCATGAATGAGCCCAATAATGTCCTCTACCAACGCTGAGGTCTACTCAGCTCCTCTCATCCCAAGTACCTTAGTGCAAAACAATTCAAGCATAATCCCTCTCCCCAGACAGCTTGCCTTCTCATGTCCCTGCGATGCAGGTCCCACGCTGCTCACCATCCTGGTTTAGTTCTGCCAGAGGCTGGGTGGGGGCAAAGCCTAGCCAGCAGGCAGCTCTGAAGCTGTACCAGGAGCCACCACCCAGTGAACAGCAGTGAGAAGCTAGACAGATGTGCTCAGACTGCTGCAGACATCACGGATCCAAGAGTAATGCTTCTCTGTAGATGACAGAGCAAGTTGATTTTTTAATTCTTCTCAGAGATGAATGGATTTATTGGGGTGTGACTTATTTTCAGTCCTTACTTTTGCATCATCACCACATTCTGATGGTACTTTGCTTATTTTCCAGACTCAATAGAGTTGCTTTACAGACACTTTCCTCCTTTGACATGTTGCCTGTCACCTTCCCAGGGGGACTTCAGTGGAGGCCTGAATTCTGGGTGCAGGGATAACACGTGGTTTAGAAGGGTCGGTTTCTGACACTGGGCATGCAATAATCCTCTGAGAAAAGTGTTTTTGAATGACTGATACTTCCTAATTGAAACAAATTGTTCTGCTTTTTGAAGGCCATGATTCTGAAAGTATTTCTCAGAATATATTTTTTTCATGAATTAGAATGAGTACTTTTTTTCCCCCATCAGGCTAGCTTGCTTTCTTGGAAAAAGTTTGCCCCCTCCAACTTTTATTCTTTTCTCTTTTCTACCATGATGGTCCTCATCCCATTGGGCCATTCCATAGTGAGAGTGAAGCACGGGCATTTGGAAATTATATCCCATCACACACATCTTCATTATCTTGGACATCAAAGAAGGGCCATTTTGATGACACCTATCTTTTCTGACAACAGTAATGTGATGTTCTCAGAGGCAAATGATCTGCATTCTCTGGGGTTCTTTTCCCTCCTATATAAAATAAAGGGGGTGGACTAGATGTTTTCTAAGTCCCACTCACCTACCTCTGAGTTGCCTGAGAACCATTTTTAGTGAAAATGTCAGAGAAGGTTAGGGCCATCATCCATGTCTTCTGGATGACAAGTATGTGTGGAAGAGAGTTGTGGATCAGGAATTATAGTCCTTTTAGTATAACCACCAGGGAGACCTCCCATAACCACTCCAGAGCTATAGTTATCAAAACTGTGAATGGAGTCATGTTGAACAACTGAAGCAATGTATTATGTAAGTGTTTAAAGATAAAATCGTATACAAATATCAGAGTTGCTATTAGGAGAATAGAAAAGAGGACTTTGAGAAATCATTTATCAACCTCTAACTTTGGGAAAAAGATGTTTTTCCCTGGAAATTTCAAACTATAGGGTATTAGAGAATAGCCATGAGTCACAAATAGGCTGAAGTTTATCAAGGTTACTTTCAATCTATTGTCTTACTAAGAAAAATATAATAAAAGTGTTGCATAGATTAAAATGACATATACTATTCCAGCTTTTGTTTCTAGTTGCTGGAAAAACCTTCCAGGACAAATGCTTTTTGTTTTATCATCATTAACATAATTCACACCAAGAATAAATTAAGATTTAAAAATAAAATTACTGAGGACTTAGTTCAGTGGTAAAGCATTTGCTTAGTATGCCTAAGGCCCTGGGTTCACTTTCTAGCACCACCAAAGAATAAAAAAATAGAAAAATAGAAAGGAAATAGATCTATTTATACACATATGATATCTTTATATTTCCTGATTTAAAAATGAAATGTTGAAAGGAGCTGTAGGCCTGATTGAAAAGTTTAATAATCTTTTCTTCTTTGATTTTTTTCTGCAGCACTTATAATCTGTATGAATCATGTGGCATGGGTGAATCGTCTTGTGTCTTTTATGCATGTATTTGTTTTTTGTAGAACCAGAAACTGAGCTCCTGCAAGGAAGGCCCAATGCCTTGTACAGAACCTAAGTGTTTTAATCATTGATTTGCATTTTCAGGAAGGAGCCTGGTGAGGTACACTTAAACCCTTTATTAATTTATTTACAAAATGTACAGTATTTATAACATTTAGGCATTAATGTCATCTTGACATGAATGTTACCTTGACATGAATGTTGAGGAGAGTCTAAAAATAAATATGTGGCACATAGGATAACATACACATCATGGCTCTTTGCACTTCAAGCTGTCACCAATGGTGAGATTTAAAGGAAAGTTTAATGGGTAGAAAAGTCAGATGGCTGATCAGCCCTGGATCTTTTACATGAATGGCTCTTCCTTGGTTCCTTGAGACCAGGGATAGTGAGCAAACCATTTCATTTGGAGAGAATTTTTAAAAAGCCATTTTGAAAGGTGTGCAGGATGCATGCAGCACATCTGTGCAGCTTGTATTAACACCCTGGGTGGTGGATCTTCTGACCTGACCCCACCCCCTGCCAGGGAGGCTTTGATGTGGTAACCTTTTCGTCTTCTGTTCAGAATTGCATGCAGTACTTAGAAAATGTCAGTGGATTGTGACCATGCACAAAAATGATACTTGTGGATATGTACAACATCAAATTCCCATTGTTTTATAGCATCTCTTGATGCAATATCAACTATCTCCTCTTTCAGCAAGAGGGATGAATGAAAAAGGTATACCCTCACTTTCCAAAGAAAAGACATCATCTGGGGAACACATGCAGATGGCATCCTGCACAAGCAGGATGAGATAAACTCCATGTGATAAGATAAACAAATTCCCATGAAGTGAGGCCTGGAAATTTTCCTAGAAGTGTAACTCCACTTTCCTTGCCTTTTCATTCCTGCTTCATCTCACATAACCTATATCTGAAGGAAAGGGCTTCACTTATTGAGCTTCTTTGAGCCTCAGTACCTTCATTTGAAAATTGTAAATACTAATAATATTCCGTATAGAGTTCTTCTAGGGATTATATAACCCAACTATGTAAAGTGCTTAGCATAGTGCCTGGCACATAGGCGGTGCTTAATAAATGTCTTGCTTTCTCTCTGTTTAACACTCTCCCAACCCCAGTTATAAGTAACAAATTAATAAGCCTTCCAAACTCTGAATTAAGGCTATGTGATATAATTAAATTGCTCTGAATCAGAGTGACTGATGTCATTTCCTATTTGATCCCTGAAGGAGTCTCATTTTATGAGCCAGGGATGGTTTCCTGTGCAGGGAAGATGGAGACTAACAACACTGTCCTCTTTATCACCCATGGCTCCACGGAGGTCCATGGAAAGATGCCTTATAACCTTGCACAGAAATTCTGACTGGTGATGGTCTCCACTTGAATATTTCCGAAACAATACCACTGAGGAAACCGTGAGCAAAATCCTTGAGGCAAACACATGACTCTTGCTCACAATAACTTTTTGTAACATTGGTGTTACAGATAACTTTCCACAAACATATATTATAAGCTCTACTTCTACCACTGTTGAAAAATAAGTATTCTAATTTGATCGATTTGTTCAGAATAAAGAATATTTAGAATATATTTTAGTTTCCAGTTATATCATACAAAAATAAATAGTTTAAAGGATTTACAAGAAAGAAGAAAAATTATAACTTTGGGTGTTAAAAATATAGGAAGGATGGTGAAGAATTTACCCTCTATTTTAAAAGCAATATCTAAAAGAAATAAAAACTTCCCATTGGGTTTCCTTACTAGTCTTACAACTACCTTTTTTTCATCCTACTATATTATGCTGTATTTCTCTATTGATCTAGTAGAATTTAATGCAGAACTTTCTCCTTAAAGTCACTAGGAATTTGGAAGGAGAGGGCTCTTTGACAGTAAGTACTGCAGATGGAGGAAGAAGCTGGCTCAAAATGAACTGGGACTAACCTCCATATTCTGCCTTTCATTCCAGAAGCCTCTATCTAGATTACTCATGCCAGAACAGAACCCAACTCCTGGAGAAAATAATCCCATGGTGTTTTGGGACTCTGGACACCAACAGTGTAGGTGGAATGGAGGCTCTCATACAGCACAATTAGGCCACATGTCAAAGCCAATCTCCCCAGTTATACGAAGGGCTAAACATAGCTACTTTATGGATGTCAGTTTCCTTAGGTTGGGGAAAGTCCTTCTCTAGCCATCCCTACAAATATACCAAAATTTTACCATACCCTTTTAATCCTCCACATGGAGCACAGAAAATATGATTCTTAGCAATGAAAGACAAAGGCTAGGAAAATTAAATTGAGCAAATTGCTTACTACTCTTCTAGGGACTCAGCCAGAATCTCAAAGGAAATAGTCTATTCCTTTGGGATTTGAAGTTTTAAAGCTCTAAAGCTATAAGGGAATAAATCATTGTAATTAAACGAGTGGTTCTTTTTCTTTCTCCTGAAAGAAAAAAAATCTATGTGTCCATATAACATATTTCGAAGATCTCAAAGGATTCCAGGACCTCCTGCAGCTCATGCATAAATTCTAAACCAAGAACATCAGATCACAATAAATAAGAACTATTTTGTGGAGTTAAAACAAAGGTTTGTGGTACAGAACTTAGGGTCTACGTTGTGGGTGGGCTAGTTTTGATGGGTTCTTGGGTCAAATCAAAATAACAACATTGGAACGGTGCTTGTTCTTCATGGTAATGGTAACGCCTGGCTGTAATGATGTTCACGAGTGCAGTGTTCTCACACATGGAACTACTGTCTGGTCAATGACTCATGCATGACTGCGGACCATCACGATCCCAAGGACCACTGCTATTATGGCACTGTCGAGCTGCTATAGTGTGAGCCCTAACCATACCCACAGGCAGGACACAATCACCGACATGCAGTGTGGGTGTCCATCGGTCTGATTTACAGGGGACGTTGTAGCAAATGTGGCATCGGTTTCATTTCGAGGGAGGGGCAAGTTACAGATATTCCCTTCGCAGCAGGAGGTGCAGACCTGAAAGAAAAGGAGAGGAGAGAGGGGTGATAAGAAGCCGGTAGGTCCTGGAAGGCGGCGGGGGGGTTGCCGGATCTGTCTCCCTCATGGCATGGCAAGACTGAAATGGAAATGATCTGCTCTACAAGGAGACACTGACCCTACAGTTAGAAAGGGTGGGACAATAGTCCATCTAGAAGCAACTTGCTCAAAATGAAAATTCTTCAGGCTACATGTCAAGGAACTGGGATTCTGTTTTTGATGCCCTAGCGTGTGGGTCTTACAAAGCTTTGCATCCCTCCCAGATCTCAGGTATTCCTGTGAAGTGGAGCTTCTGAAACTTGCCTTTCCTTTCAGATAGGCCCTTTCTTCTCTCCCCATCCCCTCCCTCCCTCCCTCCCTCCTCTCCTCTCTCTCTCTCTCTCTCTCTCTCTCTTTCTTTTTTTGGTACGAGGGGTCAAACTCAGGACCTTGTACTTGCCAGGCAGGCGCAGTGCCACTGACCTACAGCCCCGGCTCAGATAGGCTCTTCTGACAACTGGAGGAAACTCTGCCAAGTTTTAACAGTAAAAATGAAATGGCAACAACCCACACAATTTAAACTTGAATATTTATTTTCATTATCACTATCAGCATAATTATCTCCATTCTCATGAGTGAGCTAATGTTTGAAGGGTTTTTCATTTATGCAATGAGTCCTATTTTCTACTGCTTCAGGCCTGAATCATAAGATAGAAGTAAACCAAGAGTTACTAACAGAAATTATTTTAGGCTAGGACTACACAAAGCATAGACCAACAGGTTCAATTTGAGCTAGGATCGTGTTAGAAATGCAGAATCTCAACCATTCCCCAGACTTAGGGATTCAGAATCTCCTTTTTAATAAGATCCCAGACGTCACAGGGTGGTTAATGTCCTAGACAGTAATGATCTGCAGAGATTTGATTCTTTGGTCATATTTGAATGAGAAGACAGTACAATGCTGAGAAGGGAGACTGGAGATGAGAAATGAGTTTGAATTCTGTCCCTGTCCCTTACTAAATATATGATGTGAACCTATGATGCAACTTCTCTGATCCTAAATATTCTCCTTGGTAATGCCTGCAGGCCAAACCCTGTTTTCTGTAGGGGAAAGGTAATGACCTTGGTTTTACCATTCATATTTCAAGCCAGGAACAAGCAGACAGATTGTATTTTAAAATTTAATCTTAGTATATTTGGGAAGTTTCTTAAAAACTGGATACCTTTTGGGGGGGGTACTAGGGATTGAACCCAGGGCCTTTGCACTTACTACATACCCATCCCTTTTCTTAGTTTTGAGACAGGATCTTCCTAAGTCAATAAATTGCCTCAGCTAGGCTTGAGTTTATAATCCTCCTGCCTTAGCCTCCCAGAGTGCTGGGATTATAGGCTTCCCTCTTTAAGAGACAGAAGCCCTTTCTGGAAGTGCTATTCCAGAGCAGGGAGAAAGGGATTTTCCCTAAACCACCAGGAAAGTGGCCTGACAAAAAAGGGCAGATACCAAATAAAGGCTAAGGACTGACATGTCAACCAGCTCTGAGCCATCACCGTAAAGGCTGGGCATTCATCTACCATGAGTCAGGCTGCCTTTCTCATTTTTTATATTCTCCTTCAAGGGTGCCCTCAAAGTTCATTTTACATGGAGTGCTTCTGTATACAGGCACCAAATGGCATTTAAGGGGAGCAAATCGATAGGAAGATAGGTGTCTCATTGCCTATCAAATGATTCAGGAGCCAATGGTAATATTCCCTAGATGGCATCCCAGTAAAGACATGAGCCCTCATTTTACAGAGTTATCAAAGGTGAATGTTCCTGGTGAAGGGGTCGTTGGTGCTTCTGCAATGTTTCCCATCATGGGCAGAAGTAGCCACTGTTCCTCTCCCTTCTAATAGCTTTATGACTTTCTTCTGAGTAAGTAAAGTACAGTACTTGTGATCATCTTAATATCCTCTTGGTATATGCTTATACAATTTATAACAGTTTTTCTATGCCCTCATATGTACTTTCATTCTTTTAGAGAACACAAGAAAGGAAGCGTCTTTTTCAGGTGGTGTAAAGACAATCAAAAGGTAGCTTATATGGGGGTAGGAGGACAATCTGCTCATGAGCACTGGCAGCCATTTGAAGTAGACGGAGGCTGGCTATGCTGTGCTGTCACTTGCTTTTTTGCCCAGACCTTGTGGCCTTCATGCTCTGAGTCTCTGCAGCCAGTGGACAAGCATTCTTCCAGTGGGACACAGCGTTTGGTGACAGAGATGCTGTTTCCTGTGACTTCCATTGTGTGCTGAGTGTAGCAATATCGAGTCTCTGTCAACAGAGAAAATATGCTTTAATTGAGATAGGAAATGTTAGCCTAGTCTGCCTAAAAGGAACACAACAGGAGTGTGGACACTGCCAGTGCCAGCCAAAGTCTAACAGCATACAGGAAGTACAGGGGCACAAGCATATGTCCAATACTAACGATCTCCCTGGAAAGTTCCACTTTGCCACAGTAAGAAGACAGTCTTCCGGAGAACAGCGGTGTCTCTGCCATGTGATCCCCATACAGCAAGAGACAGCGATATCCCTCTTTGCCTTTCCACAAATTTTGCCACTGTCCTGCTTTTTATTTTGGGCAGATGAGCGGTCTGGAGGGCCGATTTAGGAGGTGAACTCCCATGGTAACTTTCAGGAAGGAGGGGTGAAAAGTTCAAAGAGCACAAGCCTAAAAGAAAAAAAGTTAGGTAGATAACAATGGCTGGAGATAGAAGACTACAACAAGGCTGGTGTGTGTGTGTGTGTGTGTGTGTTGGGTTAGGTATTCCCCCAGGAGGGCAGAAATGGATTCATTTTATCTGGAGAAGATGGCGTTATCTAAAAGAAAGAGCTTCTTAGCAATGAGCACAGCTTGATCCCAGGCTGCAGTGGGAAGAATGCTGAGCCGGCAAGGCAGGTGATCCACTACTGAAGAGCTTTGTCTCTCCCCACACGATTTCAGGGTCTTCCTGGGGCGGCAGATGATGACTGTGATGGAAATTAAGAGAGATCTTCCCATGTATTATGAGTCTGAAAGCTTGCAATGTCTTCCAAAATTCCACAGAGAGTTGTTTTAGTGGTAATTTAAAAAACATAAGAAAAATGGCTTTGTCAGTGTAATGCTTTAAGGCCTCCGGGCAGCATTCAGCTCTCTAAGCCTGGGATTTAGGAGACCGTTCCTGCTCCATTTTCACATTAAAAAAGAAAATGAATAATTCTTTGGAAATGTCACTGAGCTATTTTTCATCCATATCTTGGACCCAACTTTGCATGCTTTATACATTTTGGATATTTAGTGGCTAATATGGAATTATGACCTCCTGTGATATTATTTATTAGGCAATAAAAACTCCTACCAGAGTCTGTCATGATTTGGGCAGTTTTCAACTAAAGTGCTAATGTTCATAGAAGAAAGCTTAAGAATTTGAGGACCTGAGAATGAGCTAATAAGGACCACATTGACACATCTTGGGAGTCATAAAACTCAGGGGTTTTACTAGGATTCATAGACACCCGCACCTGACAGCGACCTGAATGACCTCTAATTGAGGCTAAGGGCAGCACCTCTCCCAGGGTTACACTGTGGTGGGTGTGCCTGGGGAGAGCAGGGTCAACACCCTCCCCGACATGCTAGCTCCACCCTGTACCAAGGCTGGAGTTTTGTTCATTGCAATCAGGTCAAGGCACCCTTGAGCTTACTCGGGGTCCTATGGAACTCACTACGGGTAAGGTAAGTGAGGTCATTCTGGGAGTAAAAAGTTGAAGATTTTATACCTGGCAATGATTCTCTCAAAGTCCTAGACTATTTTAAAGTTGGAGTGATGGCCTTTCAGATGAAGAGGAGGCAGCTCTCTTCTTTTAAAACCTTTGGCAGGTTTTGACAAACAGAGGCCGGTGGCCTAAGAGATTTACCACGTCTTCCTTCTAAAGAGGACTGGTTTCCTTCTTTAGTACACTCGGTGGACATTTATGGCCACAATAGGTACACCTTTCCCAATCCCACCCCAACTTCAAATGCTCTAGAGGGCAATAAAAGCAGGAATGTTCTTATCTCCTGTCTCCTCTTCATCCAGGCAACTGGGAGCAGCTGCCAGAGGTTTATTGCTCCAAATGTAAATCTGAGCAGATAAGATCATACTCTTATGGAATAAGTAAATCACTACCAGGTTTCAGTTTGGGGAAATTAGGTTTGGCTCCCAAGTAATGAATTATGTTGTTTTAAGTAAGCCTTAAAATAACAATTGGAGAATTTGATACTACTACTTTTTATTCATACTTTTCTGTCCATAACACATTCCCTTATTCATTTATCAGTGAGAACTTATTCCATTGAATGAAAGTACGGGCAACAACTGATAAAATTATTTTTCCAGGAAAATGTGTAAATCCTAAGTACCCAATAAGCCAATTCTTGCCACTCTAGGGAGAGAAGGGAGATCAGTAAAGATTATGGGTACGAATTTATTTTCTTATACTTCAAGTCTGATTCATAAAGACAAGGATAGATTGAGAATACTGCCTTTACTTCCAACAGTAGAAACCTCAATTCGGAGGCATCAATCCCTCAAAAATATCCATTCCACTTCTTATCTTACAAAACCTTGAGGTGGGTTATGAAATGTTAATGTGGAAAAAGGTTCTGCAGTTAAATAAGTTTTGGAAATGCTCAAATAAAGTTGAACTGGTTTCTTCAGTGCCTATTTGATGAGGGCCTTCAATAAGCACTGTGATCTGTGATCTCCAAGGGTGTGTTCAGGACAGCAGGCAAAATTTCCCAAGCAGAACTAGGTGGACGTGTGTGGCTTATCACTGGACTGTGGGAGTGATAAAACACTGGGTTTCAGTCACAGAGCATTGCTCACCATGCATTTTGAATAATCCTTGGGTTAGTAATGAGGTTATATGAGAATCAAGCCTTCTGATAACTTCACAGTAAAAGGATTTCAAAGGCTTTTATCTAAAAGATAAAAGACGGGTTTGAATTTCTACCAGGTTAATTTCGGCCTCTAAAATCTCATATTCTGCAACTGCATAGTATTCCCAGAAGTTGTGAAACCAAAGTCTTTGATTCACAGTAAAATCAGAAAATGGGAGAGTTTAATCCACAATTGAAAAACACAAATATAATTTTCATAAAGTTCACATACACACATACACTCAATAATCTACTTTTGAAATTTAAAACTAGTTCAAAGCTAAAACGCACATTTTCATTGGCTCACCAATATTCAGTTTCCAGTAAAAGAAGGAGTATTTAAATAATAGCTATATATAAGATGACTGGAGTTAGAATCAGACAATACCAATGCTCATCGTGATAAAAGGTCTTCTCACCACTCAAGTATCCCATGTGGCTCTGATGCTAGAAAGCAATTCCCTAGATGCAAGAAAATGAATGGGTGGAAAAGAATTTTAATAATAATACCATAAATAATAGCGAAAACTAAAAGCCTAGTGACATCTGTCTGGGTACTCCTTAGCCTAAATATTTACTGCATACTCAGCTCCTCACATCTGCATGAGACTTCCAGGCTACAACTGTCCTCAACACCAAATGTGATTCCTTTTACCATGTGTGGCCCTGAGGGATCTCTCTGTGGCCCAGGATTTCCTTTTCTTGTGTCTGACCATGGAGGATCTTTTCGTGGTCCTGGACTCTATTAGGTCTAATCTCTTCTGGGGGATTCCCCATCCTGGACTTGAGAGATTTGCTTCTAGATTTTTCTTCTACATCTCAGGTTTCTTCTTTTCCAACATTTTCCTGACCTGAATGTTGATATTCTCCCATGCCTGTCCTTGAAATTCTTTTCATTCAAGTGACCTCATCAGGCTTCCAATGCTATACCTCCATTCTACTTCTCTCTCCTAGCAATGGAATCAAATTTCTAACTATCTCCTGGATACTGCTGGTATCATCTCATACCTCACATGTCTCAAACCAAGCTCTACCTCTCTTCCCCTCATACCTGTTTATCTTCATGTGTGCCTCTCTCAGGAAGGAACCTCCTGAGAGGTGGCACCTTCATCTTCCTGTGTAATGTGGACTGGAATCTGAAATCAGCTGAGATTTCTCTCCCCAACCAGTTTCTACGTCCTCTGAAGCATCTCCGTTATCCATTTCTTCAATTCTGGACCACATCCCTGTTTTGTTTAATTTTTTCCCTTTTCCATCTTCCCTGTTCAAAACAGGTGCCATACAAGCTCCAGATATATTTCTGAAACCAAGGTCAGACTGTGGTACTCATCTCCCACAGTAACACCTCATTGTCAGAGTGCTGGCTGCACTGCTAGAAGAACAGGCCTCCCCGAGTGGCAGGCAGGTTTCTGTGCCCTTTCTGCTCCTAAAACTGTGTGTCCAGATTGCAGGGGAAACTGCTTCTCTGATAGTCCCTTCCAGGACATTTCCAACTCGGAGTTTCACATCTGAGTCTCACCACTTAGGACTCAAGGTTTTCCTTGATCAAGGCCAGGCTAGCTCAGCATTGCCTACTGCATACCTTGAGATGCTGTATCAAAACTTTTGACTGTTCTTCACAACACTTTTTGTGCATCCTTTGTTCAGTCTGGAAGACTTTTTCCTATCTTCCATTTCTGGAAACCTGAAGTTCTCCAAGACAATCCAAATTGAGAAATTCTGTGAAATCTTCCCTGATTTTCCTCCCAACTAGGTCAACATTAGTTTTTTTCCTCCATGTTGTCACAGTCCTTCTTTATAACCTATTTTGATATGTCTGGCTTTCCTTCTAAATTAAGATTTTTCAAACTTGGCACAATTAACCTTTACATTTTAAAAAAATGACAGTTACTCTTCTGTTGTTTTTAGTTCTATCTTTTGAGATAACTATAAATTCACATTTGTAATAAATAATACAGAGATTTTATGTGCCTTTTACCCAGTTTTCCTATATGGTAACATCCTGCAAAAGTATGATACAGTATCACAATAAAGGTGTTGCCGTTAATATCATTAAGACACAGAACATTTCCATACCTACAAGGGTCCCTTGACCTTTAGGGTGCTACCAATCATTCCTTAACCCTTGGAAGTCACTAATCTGTGTTTCACTTCTAAAATTCTGTCTTTTTTTTCTTTTTTTTTTTTGATACAGGGATTGAGCTCCGGACCTTGCATTTTCGAGGCAGGCAGTGGGACCAATTAGCTAAATCCCTAGCCCAATAATTCTTTCCTCCTCCTTTATTTCTTTTTATGGTACTGGGGATCTAATGCAGGACCCTGAGCTTGAGAGGCAGGTGCGGCACCACTGAGCTAAATCCTAAATCCCCAGCCCTTT